AGCACTTGGATTTTTCTCTTTTGTATAAAAAAAAAAGTAAATTCTTGGTTGCAGTAATTTTTGTTGTTGCTTTGTTTGGGTCTTTTTGAGACAGGGTCTCTCTGTAGCCCCAGCTGGCCTGGAACTCACTATGTAGACCAGGCTGGCCTTGAACTCACAGAGAGCCGCCTGCCTCTGCCTCCCAAGTGCTGGGATTAAAGGTATGTGCCACCCTACCCAGCTGGCTGCAGTAATCATTAAGTATGTAGATTTTTTTTTCTGTTAGCAGAGAAACCAATTACTAAGTAGCTCTTTAAAAATCAAATTTTCCAATGGCTAAGCTCTTGATAAAAATCTGCCGCTGTGGCATTCCTGAGAATGAACTCTGCTGCCTCGATTTCAAAATCAAAAGCCACATTTTTTATTTGTAACTTGTATGCACACTGAATTAGTTGTGCTGTTTTTTCCCTCCAGCTATACTCCCCACCACCCAGAACTACTAATTCAGTATGTATCCATTAACTGAATGACTGACTCATACCAGCTACAGTCACCAAAAAAGTGGATGGTATAGTCCACTGATTCTCAGTTACTATTATGTTGAAATACAATACCAAATTCACTGTATGCAGTACCTACTATTTTATTAAGCCTGTAAGCCATGTGTTATCTGTGAGCAAATCCTTAAGCTACATCCTTCCCCTTCAGTTTCCTGCTCAACAGTGGTTGACTATTTACAAATATGGTCAGAAAATTTTCTTCTACCTGTATATGTCCTCTTTAAAACAAGACTGTATCACTTGCCCTTTCAAAAGGTAGTATTTCTTTTCTCACTCTTTGAATTCAGACTTGGATGATCAAAGAGACAGCAAATGAGAGCCACACAGAGTTCTAAAAACCCTATGTGGGTTCGGATGTGGCTCCTTAACAACTATCGTATGCTGTTGAGGTAAATGAGCTCGGCCTATCAATGGAGTGGTTAGATGGGGAGCCAGTGTGACCTGCCCTACAACCTGTGCTATAGAATGCATGAGTGAGCCGTCCTAAACCATTAGCCACAGAGGCCACCAGATACCTAAAGCCATAGGGGAAATCCTGGGTGAGACCAGCAGAAGGAGCCAGGTGAGACCAGCAAAGCTTGGCTCAGCCTGCACTGCTATCCCAGAGAGCTGTAAGTCATATGACTATCACTTTAGGTCATTAATTTCTGGAAGTGGTTTGTTACATAGAAACAATAACTGATATACCTATATCTTTCAGCAAATCACAAAAGAGGTCATTCAGGACAAGCCTTATCAATGTAAATAAGAAATAACACTCTCTCCATGTCACTAGAGTTAAGATGAGAGCAGATACCCTGGCAGCCCTAACAAGTCAACTAAACAAACAAGCAATAGTGAAAAGCTGAAAAAGGAGACTTAATGTGGTCACATTGGGAAGAACAGAGAGGGCCAGTGACAGCTCCCCAAGTCTCTTTGGGGTTTTAACATCAGGGTAAGGTGTAAACAGAAGGCAGTCTGTCGAGGTGTGGTCCTGCTCCATTGCACTGTTTAGGCTTCCATCTCTCTCTCAGGGTTGTCTGACATGGCAGGACTGTATGAAATCTCTTTCCAGGACACAATTCCTCCCTTGGCTGGTAGCAACCTCCAGCTTTCTCCTTCTCTCAGCCTGAGATTCCTAGAGAAATTTCAGTTTCCTGGGACCACTGTTTTAATAATCTGATAGCTAGGGTTGGGTCACATATGTCTCTTTGGAATATCCTCATCCCTGCCAGGCCAGTTACATCCATTCTACTTCAGGCACACATCTTTGAGCCTTGAACTCCTAAGAGGTATGTTCTCCACTAGGGTATCTGTCCTTGCTACTGATGGGTTTCTTCTTGGAAGGTTCTATGTGCAAAGATTTAAATATCTCCACAGTAGTAGTAGGGAGAAAAAAAAAAAATCAAATATTCAGACACAACCTTCCTTCCTTCCTTGGAGGCACAACAGGTATTTCCTGAGAGCGGTTGATTGGTTAGATGGGACTAAAATTCCACTCCAGTTTTGTCCTGGACAGCACTACATTCAAGTAACTGCACCACCAGATTAAAACCTTTTCAGGGATCAGAGAATTGACAGGGCAGTTCATTTCTACATCAATTAACATTTGGACTTAAATGCAAACACTGGCATCTTCTATTGCATTATGTTCTAAAAAGAACAGAAAGTTCATTGCCAAGTAGCCACTCAGCCACTTTATGGCTCACCTCCCCCCTTGACACATGCTCCTGACCTCAGGGCCCCCAGTCGTTGGTCTAACACTCCATCAACATGGCAAGGGAACGCTTCCTCCCCTGCCTGTCACTGTCTTGTGTGACCAACCTCCAATATCTAGGATGGATGAAGGAAAAAAGGAAGAAGGAAACAAGAAAAGGGGAAGGGGGGAATCTCTGTATAAAAGGCACATTCAGTGAACAGATCTCCCCGTCACTTCTCCAAGGCAGAGATCAAATCAAGAATGTGCAAACATTCCTAAGTCAAAATCATCTCCATCTGCATATTTCAAGTACTTCTAGCACTCTAAACAGATGCCTTGCAAACAGCAAACAATACCTGAGTTCCTCATGTGACTACAGTGAACCGGATCTCTTTTTTCTAAAGGACTATCAATCCAGCAGACGTTCTAGCCAGACCACAATTTGGAACCAAGAGAAGGGCCCCTGAACAGTCAAAGCATATGAGCAAAAAGCTATGCACCCTATTCTACAAGAAAGTTCTGGCAGAATTCACTCACTCCTCAGAGACTATTTCAATGATCTGGGAAAGAACCAGGGATCAACATTATTTAAAGAGGTCCCAGATGAACTTGGCATTACAAGGCTAGATGAATTTAGGTGAGATATTGGTGTCACTGTCCTGATTTGGCTGTTAACACAGCGGTCAGTAGATTCTAGT